GGATCTCCCCTCCCAGCCAACGTCAAGGACCCCAGTGATCTTTATAGTGCCAGGGGGGAAAGAAGGAGAACAGAAAGGGTAACACAACAGCGAAAGGGGGGGCCACGACGACACCCACAGGACAGCCGGGGCCCAGAACACAGGAGCTGGGTGGCAAAAGGCAAGACAACGGAGGAGAGAGTAAAAAGTGCCTGAACACGCAAGGGCGGAACCCCCCGCCTCTTTCAAGGGCAATCGACAAAAGAGAAAAAGAGAGAGGACGGGTACAAGGGAGGCATCGGCAGAACGCCACGACGCAAGATCAGGAGGGTACACTGCCATCAAGGAACAGCATCTCCTGACAGGGAGGAGGAGAGAACCAACAGGAGGAAGGAGAGCGGGCATCCCGAAGACAAGGGAGGAGTTGTAGGAGGAGGAGAGGGAGCAGGTAGGCAAGCTAAAGACACGCCAAAGGGAGGGAACCCAAGAAGAGGGGCTGAGGAGCAGGATAGGAGCTAGATCAAGGAGGGACGGTTCGGCGATAATAGGCGGAGTCTTTCAGTGGAGGAACACCTGAGGAGCCAGCAGGAGACCGAAGTCCTGGGACAGCGCAGCCCCGAGAAAGAACCAGGAGCCCAGTCCATGACAGACGAGCACACTACGAGAGGAAGGAACAACAGATGACAGCCCAGGCGTAGCAGCAACCCGGTACGCAGTTTAACGCAGAAAATCAGGGAGCCCAATGGCGAGTCTACATGATTTTTTCGTGCGACATCTGGAAGAACTGAGCAGAGGGTCAGCTAGTCCAGGGGACGAAGGGCGCACCCTCAGGATTTTGAAACCCAGACAGGGGGTGGAAGAGGGACAAGAACTCAACGGGAGCAAGAGATGGGAAAATGTGGGAGGAGAAGGGTATGTTCGGCATGTACATGCCCCAGCAGCAGCGGCGATTATCTGCAGGAATCTGGGAGCATGGATGAGTAATTTAATCAGGGACGGGGGACAACAGGGGACATGGGAACAGGGTCAGTGCACAGCAGACAAATTAGGAGCATTTGCGGGCAGCCGGGATACCAGGGCTTGTGACTACGGAGACGTGGAGAAGCAGTGGAAGCCGTTTAAGTGGGACCAGCAGTTTGATTCCAAGAAAGCCGAACAGAGGAGCTTTGTGAACTGTATTGATATCTTCGTAATCTTTCTGACAGTTATGATGAACATTGGGGCGCAAGGAGAAGAATGGATCGACGTAAAGACGAAGAAAAGTCCATGTGCCACATTATACGACTGGTACGAAAAGTGGGGAGGCCCTGAAGTGGCCGAGGAGTTGATGAAGCTAATGACCAGTAATTCAGCCAAAATAGGAATAGGACGAGGAAATTATGTGAAACTAGGGGACAGCAGTGATAAGTTCTGGAGTCGGATACAGAAGGGATTCAGAACCAGGGCCTATGCATTACAATGCCCAGGGGAAGGAAACAACCGATACAGCCAAACCCCAAGCTGTGTCGTCATGCCCGACGATCAAACTAGTTGCCAGTCAGGGCCCCCCAACAGCATAAAACAGCAGGTAAGGAACCGACTCCAGACAATTCGGACACGGCTTCTGTCGTCACCAAGGAAAAAAGAGTTTGCAGACCAAAGATTCTGTGAAACAGGACGAAACGGGGAAGGAAGGAGGGAAACGCAACACACCACAGGGCAGAGGGGGGAGGAAGCCGGAGGGGGAAGGAGGCCCATGGAAACCTCCAGAAGAGAAAAAACGGGACGGAGCCACGGGGCGACGAGGACAGAGAGGGAGAATAGAACCGTCCCGAGGGAAGTGAAGGGAGCCGAAATAAACCCAACAGCTAAAAGGAGACGCAAGATAGGAGGGTAGCGGGTTCAGAGCTTTCTGTCCAAGAAAGAATAGAACGAGCCAACCTAGGATGGAACCAACGTCGAATAGAAGGAAATATTGATCGGGACTCTTGTTTCTTTATAGGAGGCTGAAGACTGGCTGAGCAAGAATCAGCAGGAAATCACGAAGACAGTAGAGGAAGCACAAACACGATATGAGGAGTCTATTGGACGGGAGGGCAAAACATCCGGCTTGAGCGTAGTGCCGACAATCAGCGCCGTGGCCGTAGGGGGAGCTTCGATTCCGTTTGTTTGGTATATATGGAAGAGGATCTTCGGGCGGCCACGACGAAGTGGGGGAAGGAGTTTCTTAAGGGTAGGGTATGGGAATTAAGAGAAAAGCGACGGAAACACCCACCAACAGGAAAGACAAACCAAAAGTATCGAGGTGAAGTGGAAGTACCAACAGCAATAGGAAAACGACGATTCAGAGGCCAAATTAGGTCCATAGGACCGGACGTCACGGAACGCAGTGCCAGGGACGAGCAAGGAATGACGTCTATGTCAGTAATTTGGATGACCAAATGAAGCAGCAAAGATAGTCGAGCCCAGCGTATGGGGAATCAGGGGCCCCTGAGGCGGGGAGGAACCTAGACACGAACAAGAGCAGCGGCGGGAGTACAGGTTTCCTCCAACATCTTGAATGGTGAGGGAACAGGAAATTGGACCCGCCCAGTGGGGGGAAGGTCGGCCATAGATTATTCCAGAGTCCAGGGGGGGGGAGCCAAGGGGGGAGACACCACCCACATCCAAGAGGCGCCTCCCAGCAAAAGTCACCCCAGCAGGGGATAAGGATGGAGGACAACTACCAAAGAGGGACCAGCCTTGGGGTGCTGCTCCATAAAGCCGGGCTGCTCACTGGCACGGTTCAGGAACATTACGGGTCGGGACTGGCACAGGGAGGCGGTGAAGTTAGCGCCGTGGATGAGGACACCCATGAAGACAAGGATTCATAATCAATCCAACAGGCAGGAGGGGCAGTCTGGGGGATCACCCGGGTTTAAGCTGGGGCCATGTGGATGTGGCTGAAGGACAGGAAATTGGGGTGGAAGTGGTGGGCGTCCTGGTGGCGGAGTTGGGTCTAGGGCTCCGGGATCTTGGCTTCGGGAGCTAGAGTCTGGGGATTGGGGTATGGGGTGAGGCTTGGTCTGGGGAGGGGGCTGCTGTTCAGGGTTTAAGTTTATGCTCCAGGATAAGGAGGGCAGTTCCACGGGGCGCACCTTTCATGCATTATGGGGATGGATGTGGCTTCGCGGTTCGATGTCTAGTTTTAGCCTTCAGAGCTCGGAGGATTAGGGATTAGCCATTAGGTCTGGGATTAAGGGTCTCTGGGTTTAGCTTTAGGGTTTTGGGCTCAGGATTCAGGGTTTTCGGTTTAGGATTCACGGGTTAGGGTTGAGATTTGAGGGGTATGTCTTGGGGCTTGGGTCTAGCTTTAGGGTTCGGGATTCAGGATTTAGGTTTAAGGGTTAGGGTATAGTTTTCTGGCTTTAGTCTTAGGGTTTAGGGTTCAGGGGTTGTGGTTCAAGCGCTGTGGTTTTAGGTTTATGGCTCCGGTTCAGGGCTGTTTCAGTAACCTTACGCTTCAGGGCCTACCTTCTTGGTTCAGGTTTTAGGATTGAGAGTTCAGGGTCCCGGGTTCAGGGTTTCGGGGCTAGGAATGAGTTGTATTGTCCATGGTCTCGGGGCTCAGTTTTTCGGGTTAGGGTATCAGGGTCTGGGGTTTAGGGTTTAGGCCTTTAGGGTTATGGCTGATGGTTTAGGGGTTACGGTGTAGGGTTCATCGTGTTACGGGTTAGGGATTATCTTTGAGGGTCTAGCATTCAGGTTTATTCTCTAGGCTTCAGCAGTCACGATTTAGGGTTTAGTGGGTTAGGGTCTAGGGTTGACGCCTCATGGTGTATGGGTCTGTGTTCATTTCTCTGGGTTTAGTTTCTCAGTTTAGGGGGGAGCCCTTATGACTTAGGTTTTGGGGCGGAATTTTTTGGGCCCAGATTTTAGTGGTTATGGAGCAGGGCGTAGGGTTCTGCACCTATGACTGTGTTCTCAGTCTTCCAGGTTTAGGTTCCAGGGCCTGTGCGTTGTTGGTTAGCTTTAAGAGGGGTGTTCTTAGTCTGTAGGATCTCCCTTGATACGTTTTACTCTTCAGGTTAGAGTGTTTAGTCTCATGTTTGACTTTTACTGCTGTAGGGTTATGGTCCTGGCATCCGATTCATCGTCTATGCGGCTTTTTTGATTTTTATTTTCAGAGTTTATGGTCTGGTTCTCAGGAGATTGTGTACTCTATTCACGTTATATTGTCCATGTCCTATGGTGCTTTTTCCTTTGATTACTGCTCAGGTTTCATTTTTTATGTTTCTGCTTTTATGTGTTAGTGTCATATTTATCCGTTATGCTTTATCCTTTTCTTTCATTTGTCCAGGACCTATTGTCTAGGTTTAGTTTTTACTTTGCGGATTTGCGACACATCCGGCTCGCCATTAATCTGTAGATCTGTTGCCTCAGTGTGCACCTTCTAGGGTTCAGTCTTAGGTTTTACTCGGGAGGATTGATTTGTTATGGGTTAAGCCTTCCTGGATCATGTTGTAGAGGCTTGTTTAAATTTCTTCTTTCCGGACCCTTCAGGAGGATTTACTCACTCTTTATCGCTTAATGTGTATTGATGATTCTTTAGTTATTTGTTAGAACGGATGCTATGGTCCAAAATAAATTTGTCTATATAATTGCGCGATTTCTTTTGTTACTAAAAAATAACTACCAATACTGTAAATTATGAAGCCGGTAAATTTACATACCTATTCATAGTTGGATGATTTAAAAATAACTTATTGCTTGCTTAAGAAGATTATAGCTACAGATTTTTAATGAGCCACATAATATCTGTAATGTTTTAAAAAAACAAGACAAAATAAAAGGAGTACAGAATCTAATTAGAATTCCTCAATGGTAGTCTTTGAAATAATCATGGAAGAGTTGTGGCATCAGCGGAATACAAGTATATATACGTTCCTTGCTTGTAGGGTTCTGCATTATGTACAGAATGCTACTAGACAGGTTTTATATCATGGATTCGATCGGTTTCCGAATGCGAGTTAAGGTCCTATTCAACAGGACCATGCTGTGAACGTCCTGGACCTATTAAGACAGGGTCACTCTGAATGAGATATTAGGTACAAATATAATAATATGTCTTCTCCATGTAGGAATTTAGTGGTGTCCTTCTCCCCCTTGGTCCGATGCTCCCCTCCTTATAAAATTAAATTCATCCCTCCTTATTAATTCTGTTTACCTGATAAAGTATACATAATGTGAAAAAGAATATGCATCAAGATTATCCTATAAATACAGGAAGGTTAGGAACTGTTCCGGCTAATGATGTTAATGAGATATCTCCTGCGCAGATAAATGAATAATGTATTGTGCTTGTCCTTACTTATCTCGCCCTTACGCCTCTATAGCTATTATATATATATATATACGGAGCGTCCACTGTTCTTAAGGCTGACTCTTTGAGAAAAAGTTATCTGTATGATGTGTTGTCCTTAGAAGGCTGTCATCACATGGCTGTATGTCGAACCCCCCCCCCCACTGATGTCGCCGATAGCTAGGTGTATTCCTTTTGCTTATATTGGTCACTTACTGAATTAACCTATTAAATCCTCCATATAAGATAAAGGCGAGATGTGTGATATCACGAAACTCTTATTCACATCATAATATTAAGTTTCCCCCACAGAACAAATCCAGTGTCGAAAGAGAAATAATTCGTTCAGATAAAAATACACTATGACTTGATATGTTCGATCTCTGCCGTCGTGTAAACGAAAGAAAAAAACAGATACGGCTTAGATATGCGCCATTAAC